TTCACCGTACCGATACTGTTCACACCGAAAAAAAGACGGAGGGTTTCGTATGTGTATCGATTACAAAGCACTGAACAGGGTAACAGTCAAGTCGCGATACCCTTTTCCCCACGCAGACGATCTGATAGATCAACGGCGAACAGCACGAGTCTTTTCGAAAAAAAATATTTACGAGGAGGTTACCACCAGATTCGGGTCGAACCATCGGACTGCGCCAATACAGCATTTGGAACTAGGTATGGGTCATTCGAGCACACAGTGATGCCATTCGGGCTGACCAATGCACCGGCGACATTTCAGATGACCATGAACGAGGTGTTTAGGCCGCTCTTAGATAAATGCATGGTAATTTACCTCGACGACATCCTAGTATATAGTCGCTATAAACAGCAGCAGATCTGGAAGCAGTGTTTAAAGTTTTAGACGAGCACAGACTACTGACCAAGGGTTCCAAGTGCAAGTTCTTCCAGGATAGGTTAGATTTTTTGGGGCACGTTATTTCAGAGGCTGGAGTTGAGATCGACCCGAAGAAGTTGGACACGGTGAAAGCGTGGCACCCCCCGACGAACATCACGGAGCTGCAGAGTTTTCTTGGGTTCGTTAATTATGTGCGTCGGTTCGTCCCCGACATGGCACGCTTAACTGCCCCGCTGACGGATTTACTGCGGAAGGGGGTCGCTTTTATGTGGGGGGAGAAAGAGCATGCTGCCTTCTCTGCCCTGAAAAATGTTCTCTGTTCACCGCCCGTACTGCGCATCGCCGAGCCACACCGCCCATTGGAAGTGATCACAGACGCAAGCAACATCGCCATTGGAGCCGTACGGCTACAGGATTTCGGCAACGATTTACAGCCCATCGCATACGAGTCACGAAAACTGCATCCGCCCGAGAAGAATTACCCAATACACGATCGTGAAATGCTCGCGATCATGCATGCGTTCAAAGTGTGGCGCTGTTACTTGACTGGCGCAGACGTGACAGTACGGGTAGACCACAAATCACTACAGTGCCTACGCGCACAACCCCACCTCAATCCACGACAGATCCGCTGGCTCGATTTCCTCGAGTCAGATTTTCACTACACGGTCACCAACAAAAAAAGAGCACCGAACATTGCTGACGCACTGACCCGCCCCACTGCCCAAATCTACGCCATACTACTCGCCCAGACCAGCCCGCTACTAACAGGACTATTTACCCACGGCTATCAAACCGACCCGTTCTTCACAGGTGAGAATTCGCAGTAGTTCGCAGCAGCAAAGGGGGTCTATTACGTAAAAGCCGGCACCGACCGCATCTGGGTACCAGGCTACACCTTACTAAGGGAGCTATTACTTCAGGAGGCACACGATGGGGTTACCTCAGGACATTTCGGAGTAGAGAAAACACGGCAGCAGATGCAGCGGTATTACTATTGGCCCGAAATGCTGACCGGCGTGCAACGACACGTGGCATCGTGTCCCACCTGCCAACTCATGAAGTCATCACGGAAACGACCGGCAGGGCAGTTGCAGCCGATACCACCCCCGGAGCGTGCTTGGCATCGGGTGACAATGGACTTCGACACGGGGTTACCGGTTGGAGCAAGTGGGAACGACACGATCCTGGTCATCGTCGATCGGCTGACGAATATGGCACATTTCGCAGCCTGCACAAAATCAATCACAGCCGAAGAAGCAGCCCGCCTCTTCATCTCCACCGTCGTTCGATTACACGGGATACCAGCATCGATCATTAGCGACCGCGATACGAAGTTCACCAGCAACTTCTAGCGGAACCCGTGGCAACAGTTCGGCACGCGACTACAGTTCAGTTCTTCGTACCACCCCGAGACCGACGGACAGACAGAACGGACAAACCAGACCATGGAGCAACTCATCCGAGCCACGTGAGACGACCCGAACACCAGGGAACAACAACTGCCACTCATCGAGTTCGCATACAACAACTCGCCATCCGCCACGACCCAACAGTCACCGTTTTACCTGAACTACGGACAAGACCCCATAGTACCCATGGCTCCGAATCCCGACAACCCAGTGCCACACGCGCAACAGTTCTCGTAAATTTTACAAGCAGCATGGACCCGAGCAGCAGACGCATTAAAAAGTTCAAACATCATCGCTAAGCGTAACGCCGACCGCCACCGCCGACCCTTCATTTACCAGCCCGACGACCTCGTGCTACTCGATACTCAAAACCTCTGCCTGCCCATCACCCCAAAACTCCGCCCCCGATATTGCAGGCCATTTCGCATCAGCCACATGATCACACCCGTCACCGCCCACCTCCTCCTCCCTACTGACTGGTACGTCAGCCCGTCCTTCCACGCCAGCCCGCTTCGCCCATACGTGCCATCCACCAGCCAACTGCCTCGCAACCGCCCCGCCAGCATGACACGACCGCCGACAGAACCAATCATCACGCCCGGAAAAATACTGAGCCACCGAGTACGTGACCCACGGGGAGCGCACGCCCACCGACAACAACTGGGTCCCCCTGGATATAATTGAAAATCACCCTATCCTCACTGAGTATCTGCGCAGTCATTTTTTTAGAGATGTACACGCACTCTCGTAAGGAGGGCCTCCTTGGGGAGGGGGGGCGATTTTGTCGGCGAGCGCAAGGATTTCGTTAAAATTAGATAGCTCGTGTAGCATGATTTCGTGCGAGATTTCCAGCTTCAGCCCTCCGACGTAACGGTCCACCCGCTCCGCCTCGTGCATGTAGCCGAGTTGCTCGCATAATGCGAGAAAACCGCTCGTGTAATCCTGGACCGACCCAAGTTGTCGCCAAGTACGCAGTCTCTGACGCGCCAAAATAGAAGCCGCGATCGACTCGAAGCGCGCCCGAATCCCTGCGCACCACGCATCCCACATGTTGTGCTGGGCGGTTTCGCAAAATGAACTCCAGGTGACGGCTGGACTCGTAGGCTCTCCCTCTTACGACGGCGGCTCGTAGGCGCGTGACGATGTTACGATGACTCGCCACCAGTCCATGGCGGCCCCCCGTAGTAGCGAGACGGCATATCGTATCTTCGCTGCGTCCGACTCGACGTAATTCGTATCGAAGAAAACGTTCATCGTGAAAACCCACGATTGAACTGTCGGACCTCCACCTTGGCTAGGATCGAAGCACGGCGGGCGCTGCGGCTTGAGTGGCATCGGCGCCATGATGTCGTTGTTGCCACTCGTTGCGGCGAACTCCACGTGCCGGCGGACTTCGCGAGGCCCTTGTGTGCCTGTTGCGGCCCTGTTCCTCTCCATGCCAGGCATTGAGTGAGCGGCCCCATCACTGGCTACGCCTAAGCGTTGTCCCACGCTGTCGTTCTGTGTTGGTGTGCCTGATGAGATGACGATCGGCTCCTCTGATTGTGCAGGTGCATTTGCAGGTGCATGTGTTGGTGCTGGCGCAATCACCGTCGATTGCTGGCGAGCGGAGTCGCGTTCCGCCGTGAGTGTCGCAATTTTGAGCGCCGAATCTTCGAGTTGGCGCACGAGACGGTCGAGCTGCTCCTGCGTCAGTGCCGTGAGATTAATTTCGGCCATGGCGGGGGTGTCGGGCAAGCTCAGCGAGAGCCTCAGTCGTGGCCGTGCGTGCTTTCGAGAAAGGGACGTCTACCCCCTCCAAAATTCGAGATAGTGGGGAAGCGAGGGTGCTAAATAAAGTCCTAAGTCCTCAGCGCTAAGTTGCAATAGGATATGCAGGTTTAGTGAAGTATGTTGTTAGGAATGAAACTGTAGTGTCAACCTTGACGCGATATTTCTCTAATAGATGGCACAGGCTCGGGTGATTCTTTTGCGGGCGGCATACACGTTGGGTCAATCCGAGGCGGAGTGGGTGGAGCGATGGGGTGGGGAGCAGGAGTTTGGAGAGGGAGCACCATGGGTGGACGTGCCCTACTTGGTCGACATGCGGCTGTAGATGTGTTAGGAAGCAATACTTTGTTTCGGGTTTTGGCGATGGTCTTTTGATGTTTGAGGTAGTAAGACACTTCTAGGTAGGGTTTATGCATGTCTGTATGCTTGTTGAAATGTAACGAAGCTGATTAGTGGCGAAAAAAAAAAAAAAAAAAAAAAAAAAAAAAAAAAAAAAGAGCGAGATTGTGGGATGGCGCGTCATGCGTTGGCAAGATGATTGGTCCCGAAACACAGATGACACCCACATTGCAGCGGCGATGTGAGTGGGGCGTGGCATGAATGAAGATCTTAGTACCCGACCAATCACACAAAGCTGCTTATTATTTCGCATGGGGATGCTTGTGTATTGCTTGCTTCGCGCCCACCTCAAACGTGTCACTGGCTAAAAGTGATCTGGCAGCTGTGTTAGGGACGTCGAGCTTGCGTCAGGCAACGGAATGAGGGGCTGGCGCTGACTCATGCAGTCACTTACGCCGTCCAATGAGATGGACTTCCTAATTGCATGAGAGGTAAAATGATTTATTTATGCCCGTGTTCTGTGTAAAGGGTTCTGAATCAGAAAAATGTGTACGACAAGCTAAAAACAAAAATATATGAAGTCCATACCAAGTGGAATACAGTCATTTGTCTCTTATTGTTTCAGAACCCTTTTGCCATTAACATTTTGCGTGTCAGCCCGTACTTGTCACCCGTGTCGCGTGGGTCATCGTCGATTCTCCTTTGCTGACCTGCCTGACGTGGTTTATCAAGCCCCTTATCTCCCCCTTCGCTCGCAACTTCACATCACGTTCATTCAACCTCCTTCCACACCATTCCCCCAACCAACCAACCCTCCGTCGTGCAGCTCGAAACCTCCGCCTCCACCCGTCCCTTCAGTGTCCATTACCATCTATTTCGAAACCCTACCCGCTTAGAGTTCGCTCCACCCAAGTAGTTAACGAGGTCGGGGATCGAGCTGCAGCTGTGTGCCTCCCGCTAACCATACAGTCGTCGTACGATTCTCAGCCGTTCTTATTTGTGGGAGGCTCGCTCAGCCTTGGCGATATTACCCATTTCCTCTGATAATTCATCTCCGACGCCATGGCTGCCGCGTGGGGTGTCCAGGTTGGAACCATGACGTCCACTCCTTCTACCTCGATTTCTCAGTCTCGTCGCGATGTATTTTCCGGGCCTTCAAGTCCGTCATCCAGCAAGCATATGCCAACCTCAACCTCTCCAATTACAATCAGAGCTCATCTGCCATCGGCGCACGGCTTGCTTCGCGGGCCGTCTGCGGGTCCCACGACCTGCCCCAACACCGTATCATGGCAATTGGGAGTAACAACACCTCCAGGCCGTACCATCAACACGACGCGGCGGGTTTTCTCGGTTCGAGCGGCGTCCTCAGGAGCCGCCACTGAGGAGCCTCACACTCGCTCCTCTTCCGCTGCGATGGAACGGACCGCCAACTCACTCTACGATCTGCTCGGCCTTTCGCGTCGGGACGCGTCCCTGGAGGAGATCAAAGGCGCGTACAGGATGCTAGCGCGGCGATATCACCCGGACGTCCGTCCGGAGGGTCTTACCCTCGAAGAGTGCACGCAGAGGTTTATCGAGGTGCAGGAAGCGTACGAGGTCCTCTCCGATCCGCAGCGCCGTGCTATGTACGACTTTGAGATGCTGCACCCGGCTTCCGCTAAGGCCGGCGCGCATCCGTGGAGAAGGGAGGCCGGCTGGCGACGAGGCGTGGCGCGTCCCTGGTCCACGGTGGACTCTCCGTGGCAGTCTCCTGAAGAGGAGGAGAAGATGCGCACGGCGTGGCGCGCGCAGTGGGGGAGTCAGCTGTCGGGTCTGAAGCAGCGGGCTCGGGCGCAGTCCAAACCTGGTTCTTGGGCTGCGCGCATGCGGCAGGAGCAGGGTGGAGAATCCGCGTAAGCGGGACGTCTGATTCTTGTATATTCTTCTCGTCGAGAGCGGGATTCGGTCGGCCGGCCTAACTTTTAGTGACTGACAACGAAGTGTTGCAGAACTTGTAGAAGCCCAATGGCTTCTTGCAGGCAGAGGTTGACTCTGGCAGCGAGGGAGAACTCTTGTCACATACGGTACTGGTGCTCCCCTTACTCCCACACGATAGCATCCGTTTGGTTTGACTGCCAAGTCCCCAGTTAGGATCCAGGCAGGACACGTGTACGTGGCTTGTTGGCTTGTGTTGTTGGTAGCTGGTTTGAGGGTGCTTGGTAGGTGAGTTGGCTTGGCTCTTCAGCTTGTGCATAGAAATTCTGTCAATTCTTGTAAATGCCCATACAAATACATTTTGTGGTCTGTCACTTATTTTTGGGCTACCATCTAGTCAAAGAGCATATATTACCATTCCTTCTATGCTTGCAGCCTCTGCCAATTTTGCACGGATCTATATTGGAAAAATCATCCTCCACCTGACCAGTTCACATCCACAACTTCTGGAACCACTTACAACATCGCCAAAAAACAACCCTCTCTCAAATGTTTATATGTTATAGATGTTAGTTATGTCAAAATGTTTTAGTGCTTACTTTGTGTAGGCTATAGTGGGGTAGCCCATAAGGGGTGCAACCCAATTAGGGTTAGTACTTGTACCCAACTCTTTCATAGTTCATTCATTCTCGTTCAGTATTCTGACATGGTTTCAGAGCAGGTCCTGTCCTAGGACCGATATTTTTTTTAGGGCCCACCATAGAGCGCTAGTCCGCTAGTCGCGCTGCCCTGCAGCCCTGCCCTACCTGTCGCGCCGCCCTGCTGACCGCCGCGCCGCCCTGCTGACCGCCGCGCCGCCCTTAGCAGCCCGCGCGCCGCCTTCTGCAGCCCGCCGAGCCGCCCTTTGCAGCCCGCGCGCCGCCATTTGCAGCCCGCGCGCCGCCCTTTGCCCTACCCGCCCTGCAGGCCGCCGCGCCGCCTTTTGCAGCCCGCGCGCCGCCCTTTTGCAGCCCGCCGCCCCGCCCTTTGCAGCCCGCTCGCCGCCCCTTGCAGCCCGCGTGCCGTCCTTTGCACCCGCGCGCCGCCCTGCTGCTGCCCGCCCTGCTGCGCGCAGCCCTGCGGGCCGGCGCCCTGCTGCCCGCGCAGCCCTGCTGCGCGCCGCCAGGCTACTGCCCGCCCTGCTGGCCGGCGCCCTCCTGCCCACGCCGCCCTGCTGCTGCCCGCCCTGTGTCAGAATAGTGAACGAATGAATGAATGAACTAGCAAGCAGGTGGGTACAAGTAGAAAACCTAAAAGTGTTGTACCCTATATGAACTACCCCACTACAGCCTAAACAGACTATAGCAGATAAGTTCGACACACCCCCATAGGCAAAGTGGGGGAGAACAAGAGGTGCAAGGCCTAGAACAGTACAGAAACGCTGATGATCACAAGGCTGAAGTGCCTTGGTGAAAACATCAGCAGTGTTGGCCCGAGTGACCACGTAAGCAAGACGAAGCTGACCACGCTGCTGCAACTCTCGAGCAAGGAAGTAGAGCAGAGCAATGTGCTTCGTTCTGTGCTCCAGTCTGTGCTCCTGACATAAGGCAATCATGGCCTTGTTGTCGACGTACAGAACTGGAAGAGAACGAGGCGCCTCTCCCAAGTCGGTCAGTAGGTAGGTGAGCCAGCGTAACTCCTGTGGAGCCATGGCCCCTGCGTAGATCTCCGCCTCAAAACTGGAGCTGAGAACAGAAGACGAGCGGGTAGACCGCCACGAAACAGAGCCGGAACCAAGGCTGAAGGTGTAACCCCGTGACGACCGCTGAGTAGCCAAGTCGTCAACCCAAGAAACGTCTGCGTGACCAGTGAGGACAACTCGAGCCCGTCCTCCAAGCACGAGCCCCATGCCCGACGTACAGCACAAGTAGCGCAACACCCTCTTCGCAGCATCCCAGTGCACCTTTTGGTGCCTGCCGGGAGCCACGTAGTGAGCCAGAAGGCTGAGAGGGTATGCGAGGTCAGGTCGTGTGCAAGTCATCAGGTACATGAGGCAGCCCACAAGCTCTGGATACGGGCCACTCGGCTCTACGGACTCGTCCGAAGGTGGAGCTGAGAGCGAGTGACCGGTAGGCAGAGGAGTGGACTGTGGCGAGGAGTACGTGAAGCCGAAGCGCTGAAGAACCTGCTGCACCATGTGTGACTGAGTCAAGGTAATGGTGCGCTGTGCTCTGTCCCGGGTGATCCGCAAGCCAAGATAGCTTGTCAGTTCACCCCGGTTTGTGCACGTGTGTGTCTCTTCTGCAGCTCCGACTTCACGTGGGCGAGGGCCTCAGTTGTCAAACATATGTGTATATTTGTTATAGTTTGGTTAGGCTTAGTGGGGTACTCACTGTGGGGTACAACCCCTTTGGTTTCTCCTTTGTATCTTTTCCCTCGATAGTCGACACACACTTTTCCGTAAGATTATGACATGGTATCAGAGCATAGGTCCTTAGGACCTACGATTAGGGCCCACCACGATTACCTGTCGTACCTAGTGCCTACGCGCGCCTCGGCTGCCCGCGCGCGCCTCGGGCGGTCCTTTTTTTTCCCACGTGCGCCGTCTCAGCAGCCCGCGTAGCCCGTTTCGGCCCCGCCTGTGCGCCCCTTCAGCCGCCCGTGCGAAACCTGTTTAGGCCACGCCAGAGCGGCCCGTCGCCCGGCGTAGCCCGTAGCGTAGCGACCAGCCCGCAGCCGCGCACGTGCGGCCCGTCGCCCGTAGCGTAGCGCCCAGCGCAGCCCGAAACCGCACGTAGAATGCAGCCGCGCACGCTGTAGCCACGCACAGCCCGCAGCTCGTGCAATCAGTCGCCGCGCGTAGCCTGCGGCCGCGCGCGCTGCCTGTAGCCACGCGCAGCCTGCAGCCTCGTGCAGCAAGCCGCCACACGCAGCCCTCAGGCCGCTCCTGCCTTCTGCCTGCCTGCTGCCGCCTGCCTGCCTACTGCCTGCAGCCTGCCTGCCTGCCTGCTTGCTGCCTGCTGCCGCCTGCCTGCAGCCTGCCTGCCTGCTGCAGCCTGCTTGCTTACAGCCTGCAGCCTACCTGCCTGCCTACTTGCTGCCTACTGCCGTCTGTCTGCAACCTGCCTGCTGCCTACCTGCTGCCTGCCTGCTACTTGCTGCCTGCTCTCGCCTGCCTGCTTGCTGCCTGCTGCTGCCTGCCTGCCGCCTGCCTGCCTGCCTGCTTGCTGCCTGCTGCCGCCTGCCTGCAGCTTGCCTCCTACCTGCCTCCTGCTTGCTGCCCCTGCCTCCTGCCTCTGCCTCCTGCCTCCTACTTGGTGCCTGCTGCCTCTGCCTGCTGCTTGCTGCCCCTGCCTCCTGCCTCTGCCTCCTGCCTCCTACTTGCTGCTTGCTGCCCCTGCCTCCTGCCTCTGCCTCCTGCCTCCTACTTGCTGCCTGCTGCCCCCTGCCTGCAGCTTGCCTCCTGCCTGCCTCCTGCTTGCTGCCCCTGCCTCCTGCCTCTGCCTCCTGCCTCCTACTTGGTGCCTACTGCCTCTGCCTGCTGCTTGCTGCCCCTGCCTCCTGCCTCTGCCTCCTGCCTCCTACTTGCTGCTTGCTGCCCCTGCCTCCTGCCTCTGCCTCCTGCCTCCTACTTGGTGCCTGCTGCCTCTGCCTGCTGCTTGCTGCCCCTGCCTCCTACCTCTGCCTCCTGCCTCCTACTTACTGCTTGCTGCCCCTGCCTCCTGCCTCTGCCTCCTGCCTCCTACTTGCTGCTTGCTGCCCCTGCCTCCTGCCTCTGCCTCCTGCCTCCTACTTAGTGCCTGCTGCCTCTGCCTGCTGCTTGCTGCCCCTGCCTCCTGCCTCTGCCTCCTGCCTCCTACTTGGTGCCTGCTGCCTCTGCCTGCTGCCTGCTGCCTGCTACCTCCTGCCTTAAGCCAATATGGCGACGCCTAACGTTCTAGCGTTCGAGCCTGACGGTCGTCCCATCGAGTTCAGTGTATGGTTAGACGATCTCCAACTGTTCCTTCTGACTGATGCCAAAGATGGCGTTTCCTTGTTTGATTACGTCTCTGGCTCTGCTGTTGCTCCTGCTGCTGATGCTCCTGCTCTAGAACGCTCCCAGTGGCAGACTCGTGATGCTGCTGCACGTTTAGCTATTAGGAACCACCTGCCGATTACTGAGCGAGCGCATTTCAGCCAGCACAGAACTGCTCAGACACTGTACGACGCTGTAGTTGCGCGCTACTCCTCCCCGGCCACTGCAGCCATAGGTCGACTCATGCTACCGTACCTGTTCCCCGATCTTTCCTCGTTCACCACTGCTGAGGACCTAGTTTCTCACCTGCGCGCTACTGACTCTCGCTCTCGTGCCGCCCTTTCAACCGAGTTCTGCGCCGCAAACCCCCCCCCCCCCCCCCCCCCCCCCCCCCCCCCCCCGATGTACTTCACTCTCTATTTCCTCGTCACCCGCCTCCCTGACACTCTTAGCTCTGTCAGGGACCACTTCCTAGCGCTAGACCCCACCACTCTCACTGTAGACGACTTCGAGAAGCACCTCCTCGCAGCAGAGAAGAACATCCTCGCTGTAGGTGCTGCTCGTGGCACTCCTCGCTCTCCCCTCTTTGAGGGGTGCTCCCCCTCCCCTCTCACCCCCTCCTACGCCTCCGCAGCTGCTGCTCACGACTACCTTGGTGCTGAGGGGGTCGGAGCTGCTTCCGCTCCCAGTGGGAAGCGTCACAGCGGCAGGGGCGGCAGGGGTGGCAGGGGCGGTGGGGGTGGAGGTGGTGGAGGTGGTGGAGGTGGAGGCGGTGGTGGGGGTGGTCGTGGGGGTGGAGGCGGTGGAGGTGGTGGTGGGGGCGGCGGAGGCACTGGGAGCGGTGGAGGCGGCAGCAGCGGAGGTGGGGGAGGAGGGAGCGGTGGTGGCAGTGGTGGTCAGGGCCAGCAGCAGCCGCAGCAGCAGCAGCAGCCGCAGCACCAGCAGCAGCATCAGCGTCAGCGCCAGACCCCCACTTCCCAGCAGCTTC